GTCATCCTGGAGGGGGTCGTGGAGACGACCGGGATCACCACGCAGGCCCGGACCTCCTACGTCTCTGAGGAGATCCAGTGGGGTCACCGCTTCGTCCCCATAGTGACGGAGGAGGAGGGCGTGTACTCTGTGGACTACTCCAAGTTTGGTAACACAGTCAAGGTACGAGTTCAGCAAACTGATCGCTTCATTGATTGTTACACAGTATTAGAACAAAGTTACTAAAAATACTACTAAGGCTATTATATTTTTAAATAATGCTAATACTTACTGCGGATGCTAACAATATCAATATATTTTAGGTATCCCAGTGTTCCCAATTTCCTCATTTATGCTTCAATTTTATTGTTTAAACTCTTTAAACCCCTTTATGTGTTGCATTTTATTGTTATTATTGTTGTTTGCTTTGATTCTTAAATTTTTAGCTGTTAGCATTTACCTCAAAGCCCCGCCGTGGCTACGTGACGTGACTGTAGAGTTGTTCCGTCTTCTTTCTTCGGGACTGCCCATTGTTCACAAACCCGATTGTCCAAAAGAATAGCCCATTTGTCCTGTTATTCTGAAAACAAAAGCCCCCCGGCACCAAAGACTTTTCTAACCTTTGTCATGCGGTTAATGTTGTGAAACGGTCGCAGTTTGGTAGGAAAAGATCAGGGTTTGGGTTAAAATAAGTATGTTAGATACATCAGTTAAGTTACATACGTAGGTTATAAGTGTCAATGGGCTTTTTTTGTTTGCTGTTTTTTGGGCTATTGGGATTTTGGAACAATGGTATGGCACCTCTTTCTTTGCAAGCTTGTTTGTAGACTGATTTTCATTACTGGGAGGTATTTTGTCACCTTATAAAAAACTTTTATGTAAGGTAGCCTGAAGGGTAATTCATAACACCCATTTATATTACAAAGAAGCAGAATACACAAAGCTTAAAAAGTCAACTTTAAAAGCCAAAAGTCGTGTAGATAATTGCTCACAGCAGTCCAAACCCCCTGCTGACATGTGGTCATAATTAATATATGTGTAACACATTTTCTCTGTTGTTGCTCTTGAAGGTAGCGACGCCACGCTGCAGCGCCAGAGAACTGGACGAGAAGCCGTCCATCTTAATCCAGACTCTCCAGAAGAGCGAGCTGTCGCACCAGAACTCGCTGAGGAAGCGCAACTCCATGCGACGCAACAACTCCATGCGGAAAGGCGGAGGAAGCAGCGGAAACCTGCGCAGGAACAACTCAGCACTCGCCGTGCCCAAAGTCCAGTTCTTCACCCCGACTGAAGGGGGCCAGACCCTGAACGCCGTTACCTGACATGAGGCCTGCCTCCTGCTGGCTGCCCTGCTCCTCCTGGTGGGAAGGAGGATTGCGGGTGTTGGTGTATCTCCTGCGCTGATGGGACTTGTTCTTTTCCTGTTCCCTGCCTTATCTAGACTTGTCTGCCAACACCTTTACTGTTAATGTTACTCCATGTTTACATGCATGGAGTAAAATAGTTTGTATTTTAGAAGTAGCTGTTCAAACTGTTGACAGAAACGTTAAGAAAACATTTAAAGAGCCACCGCAAAAGAAAAACATATAAGTCATTAAAGTCCACGTGAAATGGAAATCAGAGAGCTGTTTGCTTCCGCATATTAAAGCATATTTTGTTAAATATGTGGGTAGAATATAACTGGTGTTTATTATTCATTTTATCTGGACTTTAAATGTTTTTCAAATTGTTCTGTTCATTACATCATTAAAGGTCCAGTGTGTAACATTTAGTAGACTCTATTGGCAGAAATATAATATTCGTATGTTTTCTGTCGTGTACAATCACTTGAAAAGTAAGAATCGTTGTGTTTTCAAGACAAACCAAACTGGCTCTTCTTCAGTCATGGAGTTTTTCCATCAGTTGCAATCTCACCACTAGATGTCACTAAATCCTACACACTGGTCCTTTAAAGCAATAATTACAAACATTGGGCATTTATGCCTTTTTTTAACCGTTTTTTGGGGGAGATATATTTTCTTATTGATTAAAGTCACAGTTTAACTGCTAGTAGTGGTAACTAGTGGCAATCAATCACTGTATTATACATGTTTATTTTTCACTTCATTGTAATTTGTGTTGTTTGAGAATAAATGCACTCACTTCATCTGAATGTGGTTTCAGTGTCTGAACTGCTCAAATGATCCCAGTGAGCAAATCTGTCATTTAGTAATCAATACAACCAAACAAATGCAAAATCTACAGATCTACAGAAGGTCACACACATTGGGGATTGGTAGCATTACAGTTACTCAAGTTGCTAGACAAAGAGAATTATAAATAAATTAAGTGTGTCCAAATATGTGCATTATATTACAATATATGACAATAATATATATAGGAAAATAGAAAAAACATGTACACTATTGTTACGTATGATTATAGCAATAGAATTATTATTATTATTATTATTATACACCAGGGGGAGAGCAAAGAACACTGTCCTTTATTGCCTTATCTTTGATTGATTTTAAGTGAATATTGACTCTAAATAAATATATAGATTACATGTTAACTAAGTCATAACTGTACTTCACTATAATACTCATTAGATTATTTTATCATGTACTGTTTCATATGATTTAATATATTATTGCACATATCATATTTTTGAATAAGTGTGTAAAAATATGTACATTATATGACAGTATATAACAACAATATGCATAAAATAAGAGTAAAAATATGTATACTACAGTATATAACAGCAGTGTAATTAATAAATATAATTTAATAAAATATAAATATTATTATTAGTATTAATATTAATATTAGTATTATATTAACGGTGATATACCCTATTACCCGATTATTTTATTATGTACTTTTTTATATGATTTATTATATTATTGCACAAATCGTATTTTTGAATAAGTGTGTAAAAATATGATCATTATATGACGGTATATAACAGAAATAATAATATGCATAAAATAAGAGTAAAAATATGTATACTACAGTATATAACAACAGTGTAATGAATAAATATAATGAATATAATAAGCTATATATTGTAGTATAAATAATAATATATTATTATTATTATTATTATTATTACTATTATTATTATTATGTACGTATTTGTTATTATTATTATTATTATTTTATTTACGTATTTATTATTTTATTTACGTATTTATTATTATATTTACGTATTTATTATTATTATTATTATTATTATTATTATTATTATTATTATTATATTAACTGTGATGTAATTCGATTATTTTATCATTTACTATATCTTTCCCCTGTGTGGATTTTGCTCACGGCCCGGAGTGAGTCCTCTGTTCGTTAGAGGATCTGTGCTCTCCTCCACCCTCCAGTCCGCTGGCAGCCGCTGTTGCTGCACACACGCATGTTGAACGGCATCAAACCCAGAGGAAACAGGAACACACGGGGCACTTTTTAACCAGGAATCACGGCTGTGCTCAGCCAGACAGCTGAGGGAGCAAAATCATCCAGGACAGCAGCGGGGATTCCTCACTGCAAAGGCCGGGACTGGAGCTCCGACTGCCGGGGAGAAAGAGACGCACGCACGGGCCCGGTAACTCACTGGGTGTTTGTTTGGCCGGAGACAGACAGGGCAGAGAGAGAGACAGAGACACTGAAGGGGGGGAAGCAGGGAGACAGATGGAGACCCCAGGTAAACTTTTCTTATTGCGTGGCAGAATGAGACACAAACAGACAGACAGACAGGCAGGCAGGCAGACAGACAGGTTGTCAGACTTAACGTGTGTTCAGACTGATCTTGGAAATTTTATTATAACAAGAAAGAAAAAAAAAAAACTACAAAATGTAAACTGTAATTTAAGCTTTAATCTGCATTAGTTCTGTATCTTTGTCAGTAAGTTCATAATAAAGACAGTCTGTGTTCATCACGCCGAACTCCATTAAAAAAAACAGTTATTTAACTGTTAGAACCGTTACAACCCGAAATACCTGTTATTAAAGTTATTTAACTGACTGATAGAAAGTAATTAATTACATTTACTTGTGTATTGCACGTAAGTAGATGTTTTTATGTACTTGTACTTCTACATTTTACTCTAGGTTGCTTTATTTTACTGCATTCTTAGAGGTACTTTTTAATTTACTAGATTTATTTGTGACAACAGGAAATTGAAGTTAAAAGTAGTTGAAGACAGTGTTGAATTATTTCTTTATTTATTTACTCAAAGGCATTACTTTATTTGTTTTACAGCTGGTGGAGGTGTAACTAATACAAAATATTTGAATATACTTTTTGGTAGTTTAGTTTAGTTAAGCATCATATTTTATAAACTGATTGTTTTTAAAAGTTTTAAAATATGAATTTACAAACTAACTAACATTAAAGCTGTAAATGCTGTAAATCTTGTGTTAGATTATACTCCTGCTAGATTTTATTTTTCCTTGTTTTGTGAAGCAGTTTGTGACAGTAGTTTTGAAAGGTGCAATATAAATAAAGTTATTATTATTTTAATTGTAGTGGACTAAAAAGTATCATAAAAAACTCATGTAAAAGTACCGGGAAACAAAGGATCCACCTGCCATAACATGAACACGCTTCTTACACATCAATGCATCTTAAAAGTTAATAATACAATATTGTATAATAAGTATAATTCTGCTGCATAATGAGTACTTTTACATTTTGGTAAATTCACTACGTTTAACTGAGAATAATTATTTACTTAAAGGTCCAGTGTGTAACATTTAGAAAGGATCTATTGGCAAAAATGTAATATAA